ACAGCTGTGCTGGAAATACCCTTATGGGGCAGGACTTGCTTCAGTGGGGCTTTGGTACTCACTGAGTCTGCCCCCTGAGTGTGTCTCTTATGGATCTGAAGAGTTGTAATCTGGATGGTCTCACTCTGACCACTGGGTAGACTGGCTCTTGGATCTCCAAGGGGGTACAAAGTCACCTACTGCCTGAGGCCACCCAGCAGAAGCTACAGAGAGATCTGCAGATTCCTCCTCTTTGTTTGGGGTTGGAGGTGCCCAGATGAAGTGCAGCTGTGAAGCAATGCAGACTGCTGACGAGCCTAAGGCCTTCTTTTGGAACCTCTGGGTTTCTCACACCCAGCTGCAGTTTGAAAGGTTTTTAGGCAGGGAAAGGCCAGGCCTTTAGTATGCAAAGCCTCTGTGCACAGCTTGTGTGGGGTTGTAAATTGGGTGGGGCATGGTCTCAGGGACACACAGGGCTGTGTAAACAGCAATGGTTGCCTATCAGCCCTGCCCCAATAGGTCTCTGGGTCTCTGTGTCCCACGGCCCCATGCAGGAACAATGAACGCTGCGAGCACCTCTGAGAGTAAGCCACCCTCGTGTACCAGCCTGATGCCAGACAGTCCAGTTTCTCCCCGTATGAGTCTGGCAAGAAACTGTATTTCAGAGCAGTCAGAAGTTTGTATCTCCCTCCTGATTGAAAGAGACCACAGCATACCCAGTTGCCAGCCCGTTTCACACACCTCCGTACCTTCACTCTTCCGCACTGCACCTCCTACCAGTCTAGATGCGCTTTTCTCTGTCCCTCTAGTTGTTGGACTTCCACTCAGCCAGCCTTCCTGTGGTTCTGGATGATATCCATTTTGTCTTTTAGTTGTAGTTTTGATGTGGTTATGGGAGGCAGCAAGTACAGGCATTTACCTATGCCGCCATCTTGGTTCTCTCCCTCAATTTCACTTCTCAATGTCCTATAGTTTTTTGAGTACAGGTCTTTTTCCTCCTTGGTCAAGTTTATTCCTAAGTATCTTATATTTTTATTGTTGCAATGGTAAATGGCATTGTTTTTTCAGTTTCTCTTTCTGAGAGTTCATTATTGGTGTATAAAAATGCCATCATTGATTGATTCTTGCATGTGCCCCGACCGGAAATTGAATCTGCAACCTTGGCATATTGGGATCATGCTCTAACCAACTGAGCATGATATTCATTTAAAACAATAAAGAGCCCTACCTGGTATGGGTCAGTGGATACAGCGTTGGCCTGCGAACTGAAGGATCCTGGTCAAGGGCACATGCCCGGTTGCAGGTTCAATCCCCAGTAGCGGGCATGCAGGAGGCAGCCAATCAATGATTCTCTCTCATCATTGATGTTTCTCTCTCTCTCTCCCTCACCCTTCCTCTCTGAAATCAATAAAAATATATTTAAAAAATAATATTTTTTAAAAATAAAAGCAATAAAGGAAAGAAATATATTAATTACATACCTGCTTTTATGCCACAGTTCCGTCATCAGTTTGAGATAACTTTTACAAATGGCTGGTTTCTTATCTGTTCGAACTAGTCCTCCACAATCAAGAAAAAACTGTGTCAAAGGTGGGCTGATTTAAAGAAAACAAAATATATGTTAGAGGGTAATCAAGCTTAATACTGATTACTTTCTCGTCAGTCAATTAACTGACAGTACAAAGAGCCCGCTATCTATTATTTCTTTGCTCTCTTTTATAGCTTCATATTCATTTCTTCATATTTTCCTCAAACAAGATTTGATTCCACCATATCAGAGTCTTCAAAGCCATCAGATCCAGTTAATACCTTTCACTTTCCTTTCAGTAGCATGTCACAGGTGACTTACCCCCCCTCATTCTTGAGCAACCCTTCTCTTGACCAATGTAATGTACCTTTCTTCTTTACCTCTCTAACAGTTCTTTTTCCTCTTTATTGTTCTTTCTGCTCTTACTAGTTATCTAAATGTCAGGGTTCCTCAGGACTTGATCCTATAACTTTTTCTCTCTTCCCTACATACACTTTCCCTGGGTAATCTTAAATTATCACACATATGCAATGACAGTCAAACTTACAAAAATGAAACATCTAAACTCCAGAGTTACAACAAATACCCAAAGATATGGCTGTCTTGGGCATCCCAAATTTAACATGCTCAAAATTTAACTTTTAAGTTAATCAGCTTCTTCTAAGCTTCTACAGCCCAGTAAGTGGTACTGCATCCAATGGCTCAAGTTACCAATTTATAAGGCAATGAACTTGATTAACTTGAGGGAACCTCCAAAAATCTATTTACTTACAGTAAACTGTCTGGGCAAAGGACCAAATCCTGGCCTGCAATAAATCAGCTACCATAAAAAGATATTCCAGCCCTAGCCGGTTTGGCTCAGTGGATAGAGGATCAGCCTGCGGACCAAAGGGTCCTGGGTTCAATTCCGGTCAAGGGCATGTACCTTGGTTACAGGCTCCTCCCTGGTACAGGGCTCTTGCAGGAGGCAACCAATTGATGTGTTTCTCTCACATCGATGTTTCTCTCTGTCTCTCCTTCCCTCTTCCATTCTCTCTAAAAATCAATGGAAAAATATCCTTGGGTGAGGATTAACAAAAACAAACAAACAAAAAATAAATAAATAAAATGTTTAAATGTTTAAAAAAAAAAAGATATTTCATGTAAGTGGAACCAAAAGAAAACCTGGGTAAACATACTTATATTAGACAAAATAGATTTTATCTCAAAAAACTGTAACAAGAAATAAAGAAGGTCGTTCTGTAATGATAAAGGTGTCAATTCATCAAGAGGGTATCATTAGTAACTATGTATGCACCCAATATAGGAGCATCTAAATATATAAAGCAAATAGTAACAGATCTGAAGGGAGAAATAGACAGCAGTAGAATAATATTAAAGGACTTCAATACTCCCATATTCGGACAGGTCATCCAGTCAGAAAAATCAACAAGGAAACATTGGACTTAAGCTACACATAACACCAGATGGCCCTAACAGACACATACAGGACATTCCATCCAACCCAGTTTCTTGCTTACTCTATCTTGACAGTTACCAACAAGAAAAAGAAAATAACTTTTTAGGACTATTAACATATTTCATTTTAGTTAATTCATGTAACTTTCTAAATGGGGCATTTAAGAAAATGGGAGAAAAAGAAACTATGCTTTGAGGGGAGCAAGAAAAGAAGTACAGGCAGGGATTTATAAAATTCTGTTGGCAAGGGGAATTCAATAGAATTGTTAACTCTTTCCCAACAAGAAAGAAAATAACTTTTTAGGACTATTAACATATTTCATTTTAGTTAATTCATGTAACTTTCTAAATGGGGCATTTAAGAAAATGGGAGAAAAAGAAACTATGCTTTGAGGGGAGCAAGAAAAGAAGTACAGGGGC